GCAAGTGCGCATCGACTTGAGGGCGCCTGCCGAGCCCGAGGCGCAGAGGCGGGCCCGAAAGGGGGAGGGCGCCTTGTCGCCGCCGCCGTCGCCGAGGGAGGGCCGCCGTCGTCGTCGTCATCGTCGTAGTCGTCGTCGTCAATGCCGTTGTCAGTGTCGTCGCGGCCGCCGCCATCATCCTCATCCCCCCGCGTGAGCAGGTGCGTGCGATCCTCCATCTCTCCCGGGCCCCGGGCCGCTCCGAGAGCTCCGCCACGCACTTGTCTCGCTCCTCCTGCGAAGGCCCCGAGCCAGCTCGCGGCGCGTGGCCTCCGAGCCCCGCGGGGCCGGCACGCCGCGAGGCCGTGGTGGCAGCGGCGGGGGGACGCGAGAGCGCCCGCGTCCGCACGCAGCGCCTCCTCGCCCCGCACCTCCGCCCCCCCGCCCCCCCCTCGGGAGGAGGGCCGGTCGGGGCGACGGCGGCCCGCCCTTCGGGATACTTGAGACGGGGGTCACTGCAAGCGCTGGGGGTCAGCCAGAGCGCCCGATCTTGCTGGATCCTGCAGAGCCAGGGTCGCACTGACCTCGGTTTCGGTGCAGGATCTTGCAGGATCCTTCGCGTTGGCCCGGGCTTGTGCGCAGGATCTTGCAGGATTCTGCAACGCCTGCTTGACCCGGGTCTGGATTGACCCGGGTCAGAAGATCCCCGATCCCTGGTGTTTCCCGCCCCGTTGGGGCCCCCTGGGGGCTCTTGGCGGGGGCGCTGGTCGGACACGCGCAGAGGGGGATGGCGGGGTGGAGCGGGGGAGGCCGCTTCGAGGCACCCCTGCTGCCGAGGAGGCGCGGGCCTTCTCCGCAGAGGCGCGGCCGGCAGCTTCTGAGAAGCAGCGCCCTTCCAAGAAGAGGCTTCCCGCCTCCCCCCCTTCTTTGCCCCCCTCTGCGCGCCGCCGCGCCGCCAGGTCGGGGCGGCGCCGAGGCTCGCCGCTTCGCGTCGGGCGCACGCGGGCCCCGGCAGGGAGCTCGGAGAGGGGGCCCCAGAGGGGCCCCAGGGGGCGGCGCCTCGCCCGCGGCGCGGGCCGCGCGGCCTGCGGGGGGGGGGCCCGCTCGGAGCGTGCCGGCTCGCTGCTGGCGCGTCTCGCGGAGGAGGGCCAGTGGAGGCAACGGGAAGGACCGCCGGGGGGAGCTGACCCGGCGAGCGAGGGGGGGAAATGAAAAGGATCGGGGGCGGCAAGGAGGGGGGTGATGACTGGGGAACCCAAAGTGGCATAAACATAAAAACTCGGAGGTCCGCGCGGATTTCTCGGATCGGCGCTGGAGCCCCCTCCCCAAACCCCCTCAGGTCATGTTTTTTTCATTACGGCCGTTGGCGCATTGGAAAAAAAGCATCGCAAGAAAATCAATGTAATGCGAAACGCTCATTACCTGATAGCGTGATGCGAACCTAATGCGCGAAGGGTTTCAAGTGCTCCGCTACCAACACCGTAAAACTCGAGACGTGGGGAATTGGCGCGATCTCACACAGCATTGGTACAGCGATACCCACAAGGCATTTGTGGTACGTACAACACGCTCCGCCACCAGCTGCTGGTCGCGCCGCTCCCGCGGCGCGATGAAGGAACCCCAAGGCCCGCGGAAGCTCCGCTAGCGCGGAGCCCCGCTACCGTGAGCCACGGCGAGTGGAAGGAGGAGGAGGAGGAGTAAACGCAAAAAAATGTTGAATTCAGCGAGCTAGTTGATGAACTCAACGAGCGTTGTTGAATCCGACAGCTGTTAGAGCTCCGCTACCAACCATATGGGCCTCGAGTCCACGCGCGGCGCCATGCTTACGGGCTGAGCCAATGGCGAGGAGGAGAAGGAGGAGGAGGAGGAGGAGGAGGAGGAGGACGGACGAGGAGGACTCGAAGGAAGCGCAAACAACAAAACGCGGTCCTCAAGCGCCCGCCAGCGCCAGCACGCCGGATCCTCCAGGAGGACCGAGTACCAGCAGTGCCCCGCTCATAGCTCCATGGGGACACGAAACGTGTGAGGGGTGAGGCATCGCGCTTTTTTTGCTATTCCCAGGTGCGCTTGACGATCCGAGCTTTGTCGTCCCACCACGCCAAGCAGACCCAGGATGGGTCGACCTCCGTCCTGTCGGCAAATGGCTGGCATGCAGGCATGAAGTGGCACTCCGGGCAGCGGTCGGTTGCACGATACCACCACTGATCATGCGGGCACTGTCCAGGCATGGGCAGATCGACCCAAGCTGGTGCCCACCAGGGGTGCAGCGAGGGCGGCCGCGGCGGGAGCGACGGCGGCTCGGGCACTCGCTCACGCGGCCGCCGCCGCGTGTAGCGGCCCGCGTGGTTGCCTGGACGGTCGCCCAGGTCGAGCCCGCAGACCTCCCCAGGCAACAAGGTGCCTGGCCGACCAGCCAGGTCGAGGCGATCGTCCCTCGCCCCGAAGCGCGCCCTGATTCCCAGGGGCCCCGTCAAGGGGAAAGCCATGCGCCCGCGGGCGCGCGCAGCTCGAGCGCTACAGACATGGCGGCGGTGCGAGGCGGAGGAGGAGGAGGCGGAGGAGGAGGAGGGGGAGGGGGAGGAGGAGGAGGCGGAGGAGGAGGAGGAGGAGGGATGATCATGATCATGATGATGATGATGATGATGATGATGATGATGATGATGATGATGATGATGATGATGATGATGATGCTGATGCTGAGCTGATGATGATGATATGATGATGAGGAGATGAGGAGGAGAGGAGGAGGAGGAGGAGGAGGAGGAGGAGGAGGGGAGGAGGAGAAGAAGAGGAGGAGAGGAGGAGGAGGAGGAGGAGGAGGAGGAGGAGGAAGAAGAAGAAGAAGAAGAAGAAGAAGAATAAGAAGAAGAATATGAAGAAGAGGAGGAAGAAGAGGAGGAGGAGGAGGTAGGAAGAGGAGGAAAAGGGAGGAGGAGGAGGAAGAGGAGAAGGGAAGATCTGGATGAGGGCTCGCTGGCCCTTTCGTGGCGCCTCCCACTTTCGTGGCGCCTCCCGCTGAGGGGCCCAAACGTGACGACGAGGTCGACGACGACGACGAGGATGAGGGGATCCTCCGACTCCTCCTCCAATATACACGCTACACGCACACACCGCAACATACTCGACATCCCCCACTCCTCCGCCTCCCCCAGGACGACGACGACGACGAGGAGGAGGACGAGGACGAGGACGAGGACGAGGACGATCGGAAGAGGACGGCTGATCCATGCCGTGCGTGGGCTCGAAGGGAAGGCGCCAGGTCAAGGAGGTGGCTCGAAGCCGCCATGCGAGCCTTCCCTGGAGGAGGAGAGAAAGGAGGGAAGAGGCGGGCGGGATGGAGGGGGACCGAGGGAGGAGGGACAATAATGAAGACAAGATCGTGTTCCCTTTCTCGTTCCTGCTGCAAGTCTCCGCATGCCTGGAACATGTTTTCGGCCGCAAACCGCGACGCAGGCGAGCAGGCAATAACGCCATTGGCAGGCAGGGTAAATCATACATACATACATACATACATACATACATACATACATACATACATACATACATATATACATACATACATACATACATACATACACATCTATATACATACACATCTATATACATACATACATATACATACATACACACACGTATACACACATGCGCATGTTGTAGTATGTATTCATATAACCGCCCCAGCATACCCTGCTCGACGCCAGCCTGCGCGCGGCCGCAGGGCCGCGAAGGGAAACCACATCTGTCCACGCGAACAATGACTCCATACTCATTGTTTTCGTGTGTACACATATCCCCCACCAGCCTGGCAGGACGTACCGCGCCTGTCCCGAGTTCGGATCATTCGTCCTCGCCTCGTCCTCCTCCCCCTCTTCCTGGTGGAGGGGGAGGGAGGAGGGGAAGGACAGGGGGATGCGCGTGGCCTGCCTCTCCCCGTCTCTGCGCGAGGAGGGGGGGGAGGGGGAGGGGAGGGGGGGGGGGGAAGGAGGAGGAGGAGGAGGAGGAGGAGGAGGAGGAAGCCGGGGAGGAGGAAGGGGAGGGGGAAGAGGGAGGGGAAGGGCAGGGAGTGGCATTACAGTGCCGCCTTCGGAGGAGGAGGAGGAGGATACACATATACATATATGGTCATGTACACACGTGCGCACGTATGCATGCATGCATGCATGCATGCATGCATGCATGCATGCATACATACATGCATGCACTCATGCATGTTTACATACATATATACATACATACATACATACATACATACATACATACATACATACATACATACATACACACATACATACATACATACATACATACATACATACATACATACATACATACATACATCCATACACCCATATGTACGTACATACGTATGTACATACATACATACATACATACATACATACATGCATGTATGCATGTATACATGAATGCATGTATGTATGTCTGTATGTATGTATGTATGTATGTATGCATGTATGTATGTATGTATGTATGTGTGTATGTATGTTTGTGTGTAGGCATGTATGCATACATGCATGCATGCATGCATGCATGCATGTATGTCTGCATGTATGTATGTATGTATGGATATATGTATATATATATATATATATATGTATGTATGTTTGTGTGTTTGTATGCATGTATGCATGTATGTATGTATGGATATCATCCTCTAACCCTGCTCTTCGCCAGCCTGCGCGCGGACGCAGGGTCGAGAAGGGAAACCACAGCCCACACGAATCCATACTCATGTGCTCGAGGTGTACACATATGATAAAAATCACAACCACTTAAATCCATCGCAGAGCGTACTGGACAACCCGAACGACGCGAAGAACCGCCTCACGCACAGGGTGGCCATGTTGTCCCTTCACGGCAGATTGCGGCCCATTATACATCAGGATCCTCCCGACGGCTCCCAGAGATCAGACGATCTCTGGGATGGCCTTCTCAAGGAACCTGGCATAAAATGTGCCTCCGCCGTGAAGGGACATGGCCACCCTCTTCATGAGGCGGTTCTCCGCCTCGTCTGGGTACGTCCAGTACGCCCTGGGGTTGCCCTTCTCAAC